CCACACCCTCACGAGTACTCAAACCTCATATAAAAACATTAGGTTCGAGAGTACTTTTTATTTGTATGAGAACTAATTTTTGCAAGTCTCAAGACTTATGAAACACCCTGTATACCTCACTGAATAGCTATCGAATAGAAAAAAAGTATTATTAAATTTGCATGAAGAAGCAGATAGTCTACCCATTGTAAAGTAAATTATTGTAGAAGAGCACCTTTTAAACGATTCAACATAAGGCTCAGCTACTGTTTTTTGATAAAAATCCTTTTGCCAATATAGATCTTCGACAGGTCATAAAATGAAAGCTCACAACACTTCCAAAATCAAATGATGAAACAGAAAATATTTTCATATAGGTTGAGTTCTCTGCCATACTATTCTATGACTCATCCATCGAGTTTCGCGGACGATACTATTCAACATTTCTCTTGTGAAAAAATAAAAATTATATAAAGACCGTAACTTTGCATAAGTTTCTCAAGAAAAGAAATAACACCTTTTTTTCAACATTTTCTTCACGTGACACAAGCAACATGAAGTATTAGAAGAGAGACGTCACCATCCAATCAACAGAACGACAAGTTTTTTTCTTGATGAAAGCAAAAAAAGAACGGAGTAAAATAGCTCTCTCGTATGGTTTGATGAGAAGAAACAATCTATTCGTCGCTCTTCACTCACAGTATGACATACTAATTATATACGCAACTATTATAATATCGTACGTCGATTAAAAACAAGTTAGTGATTCTTCTATTACTAAACCACTGTTCTAATATGTCTTCAACAATTCTATCGACGCTTCGTGGATTGGATGATGATAATGAGAAGGAACTGAAGTCTTACTTCGATGATATTATGAGCCGAGCACCAGCAGATGATCATGAATATCTAGGCGAGATTGTGAATGCACTTATTCAGATAAGTTCGAAGTGTATCTATATTATTGACCATCCATTCTTTATTCGTATTCGAAATACATTTATTAATAACCTTGAAAAATCTGTTGATAATTTTACCCTATCATGTCGCATCGGTGAATTATTCTCTCAACTAACAAATCATACCAACGATAAAAATATCCAACTTGTTCGTGAGTTCTTTGCGGATTCGAATCTAACTGAATGTTTAATTACATCTATCACTAATCTCTCGTCCACATCCAATGATCATCTAATTGGTAGTATTGAACATATGATTGATGCATACCATAAATTTCAAGACGATCGTCCAGCTATTCAAGATGATCCAATTCTTTCGACATTGATCATGCCTATTGTTAACTTTTTCAAATCAAATGAATATAAAAATTCATTTTTTCAATTATCAGCTAAACAAGATCAATTGACATCTTTTCAAAAACTCATTCTTGTGACATGTCCAACATATATTAAATCCTATTGGGGTCAACTTCAAGAAGAAATTTTCTCTGCAATAGCACAAGTCACATTGACTCGTGCGTCTGAAATCTTCGAACATTTTTTACCATCAATTGATGATTGGCAAGAGCCAGTCATCTGGTCTATCTATTCACTGATTTTACTTTGTCAAAGATGTGGTAATGAACATCTTCTACCAGCTTACGATTTACAACATAAGAAAATTCTTCATCATGTACTGAATATTGTTCAAGGAAAAGAATTATGGGATGTTGCGAATCAAGATTCAACCTCAGACAAGCGTCAATACCGAGTGAATCAACTTTTTTGCTATAGTACTCTTTACATATATACTACAACATTCTTACCGGAACTTCGTGATAAACTAAAAGAAAATAATATAACACCACTTCTGATTAGACTTACTAAAGCGAAGTATGATAAAATTCAATTTCATGCTTATCGAACATTAGCCGCTGTTCTTACTGATAATGATATTAAACAATTAGCGAATCCAGCTCAAATTACCACTGTATTCATTACTTATATGAAAAAAACGCTTGATGTCATCGTACTAAGACAACGGTTGGAAAATTTACTTCTCAGTTTGAAAAGTAAGCAAACAGAGACGACTTTCAAAAATCTATGTAAATTTTGTTTATTTGATTATAGTTCTCATTCAACATGATCAAATCCGAGGGGAATTTGCCAGGCAAATGGATGGTTTACCTCTTCTCTTGCGATGTGCAACTGAATTGCAATTTGAAGGTACAAAAATACAATTACGTTCACTGAACATTCTCATGTCACTCACTTTTAACAATGAAATCAAGGTATTACTTGAGAAAAATAGCACTTTTATTCAGCATCTACGAACATTGGCCACTTCTTCGAAATCACCTGAATTACAAAAAATTGTCGATGGTATTTTATGGCGATTATTTCCAAAATATGAAACAACTGAAACGAAATTTCAATACGATGTAATGATATCATATTCTCATAAAGACAAAGATCTATGCCATCAAATACACAAAGCTCTCGTTGCCAATAATTTCCGCGTATGGATCGATCTTGAACGAATGCATGGCATCATGATGCAAGCAATGGCTGAAGCAATTGAACAATCGCGTTATATTCTCATCTGTATGAGTGATAGTTATTGTGTCAGTCCTTATTGTCAAGCCGAAGCACAGTATGCATTTGAAAAGCAACGTATCTTGATTCCATTGAGAGTTCAAATGGGTTATAAACCGCAAGGTTGGCTAGCCTTTACAATATCTGGTCGAATGTATGTGGATTTTATCAAATTAAATTTTGAAACTGCTTATGCTAAACTTATGTCACAATTTCATCAAAATCCAGTTGATGAAAAAGATGTTGCACCGAGATTATCACAACCAAACGTTAAAGATGCTGTAGTAGAGAGGTATGATTCAATTTTTAAGTCGTTGAGATACTCTTTGTTGAAATTATTCTTTCTTCTTATCCATATCCATTATAAAATTTATATTAGATATAAATAACGGGTAACCCATAACGAATGACCGCATTTTGCATTTTATTTTTTCATCATCTAATACGCTTTATTAAAAAAACAAAATATATCACAAGATGCAGCGTGAGAAGTTCTACAATTTACATAGAACCGATCATTTTATAGTTTTACTTTTTGTTTTTCAAAATGAACAAAATTTTGTGTGACCAAATTTCGATCGTGCAAAAGTTGGTCATACGGAATTTTGATTTTTTTGAAAACAATTACAATAAGCTTTACTACGTAAATTGTAGAGCTTTTCGCACTGCATCTTGTGGTATATTTTGTTATTTTTTTAATAAAACGTATTTAGAAATTAAAATATGCAATGCAAAGTGTAGCCATTTATTATGGGTCACCCGTTAGTTGTACGAATAGATATTGGAAAACTGTCCTTGGTAACAGTAACTCCAGAGAATGAGAACTCTCAAAGATAGATCGTTTCCGTTTTGAATGAACACGATAATAGCTACTTTTACACGATGGTGTATTTTTATTTTAGAAAAGAGTGTGCCATCTATTCTTATCCCAATGATGTACTTCAATGGACTCCAGCCAATGTTCGTGACTTTTTACTTGATAAACAGCTTGATCAAATGATACCGATATGTCAATTCATGGATGGAAAAAGATTAATAGATTTATATAAGTTATGCTGTAACAATTCTCCATTAATGTTGCAAACGCTTCGTTCTGAAACAAAGGAATTACATGCTGCATCACTATCGACTAATACGTATTTGAT